CATGAAGTTAATTTTTTGTTGAAGCTGCTTTCAGAGTGATGCAAATTGCGTTTCGGAGGTTTAAAAATATAAAAATCCCTGGGGGACAGACCTCCCTATAGGTGTCTCGCGCATTCGCCGCCCGCAAAACTAGATTGTACATCCGAAAACTTTGACTAACGTACGAAAAATCCTGGATCCGCCCCTGTTATTTAGAGCGACCTTGCAACGTGTCTTAGAAAAAAGCGGGAAATTAATCAGACAAATTTTTCAACGCTTTACCGAACCCAGCTCATATTCTAATCTTGCATGAGCATGCGCATGACGGCTCAGAGCACTCACTCATAAGCTCATCCTGCATGAGCGTATGAGCACATGCTTATGACTGCTCATGAACACATATTACTCATCTGCTCATCAGGTCCATTTTAAACCCGAAATACTGCGTATAGATTTTGTTAGATCTTCAAAATCATGTCGGATACAATTTTGGGCTATGAGCAAATGGGCGCATGCTCATATTCGCTCTTGAGCATCTGCTCATAAAACTGCAGTGCTGCTCAATAACAATGCATTTCTGTACAGTCAGTGCTAACAGAATGAGCCGCCAATTTTGCCGAAAGCAATTTAACCGCGGTTACAATCTACGTAGACACAAAAAAGAGTATTGTCCCCTACGTGCACAAGAAAGAAACATGTCTCAAACAGACTCGGATAGACAGGAAACGGATTTCCAAGACGATGTCTCGACAACTTCAACTCATGGGTCTGAAATTTCGATGACGACTGATAATGAATCAGAAACTAAGGAAGAAATGGACCCTTGGATACCGTTGATAGAAGAAGCAAAGCAAAGAAGCAATATAGCTTTTCAGGAAATGAAAGAAAGCCTTATAAACAGTGGTCTAGATGAGCAATCCGCTAAGGACAATTAAAGCTTACTCTAATATTCTGCATAAACTCCAAAAGGAACTGGAAAATATTTATGTGGAACGTCTCGAGTCGTGTGGATGAAACAGCTAAAAAAAAATCCAATATATAAGAAAATAATGCGCACAAAAGATGCGCATGTGGAAAACGATGATTTTGATCCAGAAGAAGCGTTAGAAGCAGCTGTTTACATGAGAAAGTTTCTTATAAGAAGGCTTTTAAAGGATTACGATTTTGATGAAGAGAATGATGATGATAATGATGATGATGATGATTAGATTAGATTAATAGGTCGAATATAGGATTGAAATCATGTATTCGAAGTTTCGAACAGTATATGTATATAGCATGCAAAACATACCAGTATCGACACAGCATTATTATGTAACTTCGAGTCATATAAAATAAATTGCTTTTCAATGGACCATTCCCCAATTAACCAAAATTTTGATCTCAACAAGTCTAGACTAAATTCCATCATAGCATGAAAGAGCATCACAAAATTAGTAATATTCCAAAGTTTCGTTGCGAAATGTTGTAAAATGCGGATAGTATAGCCTTGCGAAATTTGCAATTTTCAGTCATTTTAGATTACAATTAACGGGAAATGGTTACCACTTTTCCAAAATTTTGATCTTAACTAGCCTAAACAAAATTTTCATCACAGCTTGAAAGAGCATCACAAAATTAGTAATATTCCAAAGTTTCGTTGCAAAATGTTGTAAAATGCGGATAATATAGCCTAGCGAAGTTTTCAGTCATTTTGTATACGCGCAGAAGTGGTAACCATTTCCCGTTTGTAATCTAAAATGACTGAAAATAGCCTGCGAACAGGCTCTCAAGCTGACTGAAAATTGCAAATTTCGCAAGGCTATATTATCCGCATTTTACAACATTTTGCAACGAAACTTTGGAATATTACTAAATTGTTTAGACTTGTTGAGATCAAAATTTTGGTTAATTGGGGAATGGTCCATTACCTGTCTTTTCTTGTCATTTTTACATGGGTCGGCCGGGCACAAATCAAAAGGGTAAAAACACGCGAAAATGTATACATCGTTTTGTGTACATAAACTAATCAAATTTTTGCAGTAGTGTCTGGGCTTCCACCGTTCCACGAAAGAAGAATGTACACCCAGTCTTCGGGCCTAAACGGGCCTTGTGAGCAGATGAGCATGCACTCATGAGCAATTATGAGCATTTGCTCATCTGCTTACAGCACAAAATTGTCCCGGACATGATTTTGAAGATCTAACAAAATCTATACGCAGTAGTTCGGGTTTAAAATGGACCTTATGAGCAAATGAGTATGTGTTTATGAGCAGTCATAAGCAGTTGTCATTTGCAGGATGAGCTTATGAGTAAGTGTTCTGAGCCGTCATGCGCATGCTCATGCAAGATGAGAATTTGGGTTCGGACAAATTCAATCACCGCAATCACAGGATATTTAAAAGTTTGATGTAACTTTGAGCAAAAGTTCACAAAATTTGACGAGATTTGGGGGTTCTCTTAGGGTTTTGGCCTGTCAAAATAAGACGCCAATCTACAGGTCGTTTAAAGTGGGTAGAGGCATCATCTCATAATTAATGTGCCTCTCTTCCAGTTTGAAATTCAATGGTCCAAACGTACTGCCAAAGTACACGATTGTATAATCTTGACGTTGGCAATGTGTCAGCTAGCAATTGAAATTAATTCCGCTTTTTGTGTACAAACTGATCATGATAAATATTGCCGCGGGCACCGTATACACAAAACACGGATGATTTATTTCGCCAAAAATAGCCTATTCGTTTTGACACTAACTAAAAGTTAAACCGTTAAAGATGTATACATCACATACTGGCTGATACAAATGACGAAATTAATTTGGTCAGGTTGAATATAAAATATATAGTAGCTGAATTTTAGACGTCTAACAGGAAGGCAAGGCAACACTCAAGTTGCATTTTCATTATAACCTTTAGGAACAGAACGTACGAAATACAAACTGTACATGCAGGAAAGGGTGAAAATTGGACACACTGTATACAGTCGAACCCCGCTAACTTCGAACTCTCAAGGGGAACGAAGAATTGTTCGAGTTAACTGGGGTTCGAGTTCATAGTTTATAGATACACATTTCGAAATAAATGACATACTTTCTTTACTTCGCCTTTCCCTTTTGCCGCCTGCGCTCCTTCGCCCAGCGGCTACGCTCGTGTTCCAAGATCCGCCATGTAAAGTGTAGTGAACTGTATCTCATCGTAATATTAAATCCTAAGAAAACTAAAGCCTCTGCGGAGGAGAGAGCTTTCTTTAGATAAATTGATTATTAAAGGCGAATACTGCTATAACGGTTTTATGTTAAT